TTAGGAGGGAGCACAGAAGAAGGAAGAAGAGCTGTTACAGAAGCCTGATTCTCTTGCAAGTGAAGGTACTCTCCGCCCATTGTAAAATGCTGGTAGGTGTCTGAAGTCTAATGTTTCTCCTGGTAACACTTTGCAACTACTGATAAAACACTAGCCTATAATGGCAATTGTGTGTGTGTGGTGCAAGGAATGTAGTATTACCTAATTTTTACAATGCGTGGCAAATGCACTTCTAGTCTTGGTTTTTTTTTTTTTTTTCTGGCATTTTGAGCTTTAGGAGCTTTAAGAGACAGTGTTTTAGAAATGTCCTTGACACATACACAGTATGTCACTGGGTGGAATCAGTACTTGATCCCACACTGAAAGTTACAGGTCTGTTAGCTGATGCTGAAAGTACTTGGATTGTGAAATTGAGAACTTGTTTCCAAGGTCATGTACAAAAAGGCTGGGCTAAAGGCCCCTTTTGGATAGCAGTGCTTCCAGTATTGTTCCTGCTTCTGTTAATTTTCCAGCTACTGTTTTTTTATGAAGAAAAAATTCTAATGGAAAGCATTAGGTTATCCACTTACTGAACATACCTTTACAGGACAAATTTTGGAAAAAATACAGCTTCTGTTTTGGGATTAGTCTGCTTGTGATATGGTGGGTGGGGAGGAGAAAAGTACTTTTCTGTTTGCAAGGAGAAACATTCAAGCTTCTGCAGAAGTTGCCAGCTTGAAGTGTGTGTGTTGCAGTGTATGGTCTCTGAGTCCTTGTATTTGGCACTTTCGGTATCATCACATTGAGAAATTAAGTGCTTATGGGTTAATTGGAATCATTCTTGGTTTTGCAGCTGTGGCTTTACAGCTCCTTAAAGTTACATTGGAAAGTTACTTTTCCATTTATAAAATCAAATTATCTGTACGTCCGGGAATAGATTATGGTGTTACAATTATTCTGTTTAAAATGTTGCGTTAATATTCAGTAGTGGTCAAGAAGGAAATACAATGGTAGGATTTTCTGATTTTTAGGAAGGGAATGGAGAACTTGTATTCTTGAGAGGATACATTTGAGAATATCAGTATGGACTAATAATCCATGGTGCTCCTTTATTTTGAAGAGTCCAAATCTGATTGCCAGCCTCAGAAAGGATATAGCAGAGCTGCAGAAAGATTCAAAGAGTAGTAATATGGTCAAAAGCACAGTATGGCATTCATGGCAAGGAGGAATAGGACTCTTGAGTGTGGAAGAGTGAGAACCGAGGGAAAGACTGAGGAATGAAGTAGAGGCATGAGATGGTGAATAGCATCTGATTACTCCTGTCTCCTCTAACACAAGGACAAGTTTCTTAAGCTAACAACTGGCAAGTTTCGAGTAAGCAGAGAAAGTTTTTTCACACATGCATGTTTAAGTTCTGCAACTTTCTGTGACCTTATGTTGCTGAAGCTAAAAGCTTGCTTTGGGGTTAATGTGGGACTAGACAAATTGGTAGGGGAAAAAATACATTGGAGTTGATAATTTAGGAAAAAAAAAATAGCCAGCCACTTTTGTCTGTTGCAGGAAGCTTCTGAGGTGCAAAGTTTTTGATAACTGGAAGAACATTCTGTTGAAGTGTCAGCATACACTTTGTATCTTTATGCTCTGACACTCATTTTTGACACTGTTCTGTTGATTTTCCCCCTCCAGTTAGGGACAGCTGTCTCTGAAAAGAGTAAAACTTCATGCTACTGCTAGAGGCAGGATTCTGGCCTGGATGAATCCTTGGTTTGTCCTGGTGTGACTGTTCCTTCATACTTCAGTTTTGATGTTGTTTGTTGAAATGTGTTGAATACTGAAACTGCAAGAATGGTAACACTGTTCAGGGCAAGGTACCACAGCATCCATGAGATAGCTGTAGTGGAAGGATTAGCTACTTTTTGGCATCCTAATTTGGTGACCAGAAGGTAACAGAATCCCTTATTTTGATACCATTTAGTGATAATGGTTCTAGCTTAAGTCCTAAGCAAAGATATTTTTTATTTGTGCAGTATTCTTTCCAGGTACGACCGCATGTGAAGCTATGTCAGTCTTTGGAACTTGTACTGTTAAGACTCTGTAAAAGCTAACTTGTGTGTTCATGAATGTCTGCAGTTAGGCTGCAACTTCATGTCTGTTAAACCATGCTTTGGAAATGAGGAGAAATCCCACTTTATGCTCCCTGTTTGTTTCACTGGAGAAAACTGAACCTTTCTAAATACTGTGTCTGTCTGCAATTGTTGCTAGTGTATTAGGGAGGAAAATAGGTGGTGGCGGTGAGTGGTTTTATTGTTACTTTGAAGATGAAAGCTTCTGTATTCTAGAGAATATTAACTTTGTATGTTGACACTGACTGCACTTGCATTCCTAAAACTGAGCATCTCTGAGATGACTTGGTATGTGCACTTGTGTTGACAGCTTTGGCTGGAATGCTTTGGAGCTGTGCTGTGACCCTTAGCTTTGTATTGGTGACTTTTTGTTATTTGAGACTGACCAGTTCTGCCGTTCTGAGGAATTCTAGTAGTCTGTAAGTTATCATTTACAGCTTGTCCCCACAGCAATATGTGTGAATTAGTTACTTCTAAGGGTCATTAGTAGCCTTTTCAGTTATCCAGAACAATGCTTTTATGCTGCTTTGGTTTCTTTCACAGGCTTTTCAGTAATCTTATTGTCTTGTTCTTGATTAACTAGCATTTAAATTTAAATAAGATCATTTCTTAAAAATTGAATTTAAATAGCATATCCCTTCCTCTTCTGAAATCAAGTTTCATGTGAAGTTGATGTCTCTTAGTGTGCTTACTACTTGTTTTCTTACATTTCTGGCCAAAGAATCCTATTATCGTTACACCTTGCCAGGAATAAAGCTCTTCTACCATGTATCAAACTTTGAAGCAGAATGTTTAGCTATTACAGTGTTTTGGAGGAGTTGGTATGGTTCCCTCTGTCACGTTTTTGAGGTTTTTCTCCCATGAAAATACTCTTGCTTTTTTATCCAGTTAGTATGTGGTCAGGTAAAACTGCCATGCTTATCACAGTTTTGCTGCTGTCTGGGGAGTTCTAATGGATAATGAGATTGTCAGATAGTTTGTTGCTTCCCTCCTTTTTTGAGGGCAGTGGGTATGGTTGTCACTTGGTTGGCCAATCTGGAGAGAAGACTCCCTGGGACAACAGTCAGGAGATCCCTGTTGTAGAGAATTATCTCTCTAGTTTTTAATTTTGTAGTGTAAGTAGATGAGAATTTGTTCTCTGAAGCTCATAAAAATGAGATTGATAGACTACATCCACGGCTGGTAATTGTTGCAGGATGGTGAAGGTCTTGAACCCTTTTTGAGGATGAGCCTTCAAAGTATGATATGTTCACGTAAGAAACTCTGCTATTAGTAATTAGTTATTAAATTAATGCGTAGTTTGGTAGCAACTTGTTACTCTTAAAACTATATTTGTATATATTAAGAACTGTCAAGAAACCTTTTGAACCAATGTTGATGTAATATATTGAAATACCTTAGACATGTTGGAGTAGGTGAAACCTTTTTGTATCTGTGGCTGGAGCAAGTGGGAGGATTTGGTAGGAGCTTAGATCCTGGACAAAAGATGGGTGGATTCAGAACAAAGGAGTTACTGGAGCAGTTAAGGAGTGGCCTTATTAACTCAAGGTTATGTGCTAAATAGATGCAGATTGATTAACAGTTGTTAATTGCATATGCAGCTGATAAATTGCTGCAGTTGCGTTTAGCATACTTGCTTCATAAGGCATTAGGCATCCTAAACTATATTAACATCTTATGTAAAATGTATCTCACTTATTGATTAACTTGCCATAAAATTACTAACTTCAGAGGATTTAATGGAAATCCTATAGTGTGAGTTAAGTGTTAAATTTTTGTGATAATTTTGGAGGAGAGGTGGTTTTTTTTTTTTTTGGTCACTTTAGCCACAATGTGTTTGTGAAGGAGAGGCAAACATTGACATCTCACTTAGATCACTTCATAAGTTTACTGTTTTAATTTATCCAAAGATTAAGTTGCTCATATGTGAGATTGACTTTAACACTGGCATTGTGGTGCTGGGAAAGTCTGAGTATGATAACACCATTGCCTTCATTTAATTGCTGTACTGTCTGAGCATATGTAGAATTGCAGCTGACAGTTTTCAGTTTGCAGACATGGAAGTATTGCATTTGTGTTTGTTCCATAGCTTTCATCAGTGCTAAAATATGTTTGTCAGGTATACTGAAATCTACATGCTGTTGTCTCTCATGCCCTGCTCCTTTCCCCGCCCCCTCCAATCTAAAACCGTGTAATCAAGATTTCATGTATGCTCAATAAGATTGACCTTGGGAAGAGACCGTAATTACATAATTGTCCTGTCTGGATAACTAACGATCAAACTAGGAGGTTGGCAGTCATCTAGAGCCTTGGCTGTGTTTCTCTAATCCTATTTCAGGCTATTTAGATTAAAAGTTTAGTGTACTGGGAACGTTCTGCTGAGTTAATGGATGAAACACATAGAAGCTTTGTAAAGTTGGTAGCTTGATAATCTAGTAGGCAAGGTCTGAGGATTTGCACCTATGGAATGAAATCATGAAGTGGTATAGGGCTTGGTTTACAAGAGTGCTTGAACATCATCTGCTTCTATCAATTTTAATTAATCTGGTATCTGAATCAAGTATTCAAATATCTGTGAAAACCAGTCCCTGTGTTTGGGTGGTTTTGTATTTTTTTTTTTTTTATATTTGCTGTGTCAGAGGAAGTTGAAGTGCTTATTGCTGTTGGGTAGGTAGCATGCTTAATTTTCTTCTGGGCGCTGGCACATGGACAAACCATTGTTTGCGGTTTCAGAGAGTCAAGCTTTCTTCTTCACTCAAAATTTTCATTGCCCCACTGTTTTATACATCATTTGTTGGTTGTAATTGTAGAAATGTGTTCTTTACCATTGCTACATGTAGGAGCATTGAAAATGGTAATCATTCCCACTTCAGACTTGCCTTTCAAAAATAAGGTGAAATGGGTCAGCATCTGGCTGCTGCCAGAAGTGCTGTGGAAGTTTGTGCAGGTAGTAAAAACTACGTTGTTTTACAAATAACTTTTTTGAGTTATATCCAGATGTGGTTACACTAGGTAAAGGTTAGGGGACCCCTGGTTTATAACTTGGTCCTTAGTTTCTTTTGTATCCTCCATTTCTCCTAAATGAGAAATCTTTCCATTAATTTAATCTAGTGTGCCCACCTTTTTCTCTTATTTTTCCCAGTTATAACTAAATTAACTGGTCAGCTTAATAATCATGGTTATGGTTCAGGAGTCAAGATACTGTCAATTGGCTGACTGTTGGGGGGACAACTCTTGATGTTTTGTGAATATCTTTGTGTGGGAGTGCCTTTTAAGAAGTCAAATTGGTTAGTGCTGTCAGAGGCTGTTGCCAAGTTACCTTCGGATGCAAGCAGAAATGCTGTGTAAACAGTTGCAATATCTGGGGTGGGGAGGTAGGTGTAATTACACCCTGTAAATGGAATTACGTATTTGGACACTATTTAAGACGGTGGTTGTCTTTTACTATGCGTTGGTCTAGAAAGTTGAACTGCAAGATTTCAAAATACACAGAATTATTCCCAGAGTGAGATTTCTTCCAGGTTGTCTGTGCAAATGCATCAGACCTAGAAGTTCTTTTGGAAGATTTCTCCTTTTTGTAGAACTGTATATGGAGCAGTGTGTCACTCCAAGTGCTACCTGTTCTTGGTGTGCTTTCAACATCAGTATGGTGACATTTACAACTTAGACCTTCAATTTTATGTCAAGTTTCCCAGGATACTTTTTTCTTCTGTTTTTGTGATTGCTGAACTATGGTCAGTAGAAGCTTCATTTTATGTTGGACTAGCACGTAGAACTGCTGATTTCTGTATAAGCTCAAACTGTGGGTGAAACAAGAATTTGTGGCTTAGAAAGGCAAGACAGTATGCTTTAATGGTGATTGCTTCCTGCCTTGGTCACTTTTCAGTTACCAGCTGGTCGGTCTTAAGTGGACGCATAGCACAAATTACGTGTCTGATTTCAACTTCTCTTCCTTGAAGAATGTACTTTTGTAGCCAAGAGGAATATAATAGATAAACTTAATGATTTTAGGAATGCTGTGGAAACTGTTTTATTTAGAAAGGAAGGAACGGTCATTTAGTCACACTGTACTTTTCACCTGAGCTCTCAATGTGCCATCTACTCTTGTCAAAACAGAAAATGCTGATGAGTTGTACAGCTTTGTATTTTGTGGATTATTGCGTAGTAAAAATAGTTCCACGTTTTTAAACTAGACACTAAAAAAAACGTAAAACCTTTGAATTACGATTTCAATGCCATTGAGTCATTAAAGCAGGAGTTTGGCAAATGGCAAGCATGGTTTTGTTTGCATGGAAATAGCAGTAGACTCTGGTTTAACCTAAATACTAGTATAGCGTGTTATCAAATGCAGAGTTAAGTCAAAGGTTAATAGCTGTCTAATTGTTACTTGTCATATTATGGACTTGTTTGTTTTTACCTAAAAATTATAGTATTATCATAAAGGTACAGTGTTGCTGTACCTTTTTAGTATTTTCAGAGTCTAGAATGAACTAATTTTTTTTTCTCTTTGACAGTCAAGAATCCCTTCAGTGAAGAAGTACTACAAAAAGTAAAAGTAAGTAATCTCACTTTGTATTGAGATATTAATATATATTTATATTTTATATTTGGTCTGTCAAATGATTGTATAAAAACAATATAGATCTCTTCAGAAGGATGCAATTTCAGAGTATTTTACATGGGATTAATGCACTTCTTGCAACTATAATGTTTTAATCTTTTGTTTTTCATCTTGGGCAATATAGCTAGGATTACAAGATTTGTCTGTGGCATGCTGGTTGCTTTATATACTAGGAAAATGTTACATAACTTGTGTTGTAGTGCTACGAGGAAAAATTGTGGTGTTGTAAGTTTTGAGACTAAATTTATCAGTTTGTCTCTTACTGTTACCATTTGGCTTCTCAACATTGAAAGGACAGCTGGTAAGAGGTGATTGACTTGAGACTCCAGGATCTTATTTAGTGCCATAGAAGAGCAAGGGTCAGCCTCCAGAAAATGGATTTTAAAAAGTCTGTCTTTCTCACTTTGATTCTATTTTGTTACTCGTTCCTACATTCACTCTCTGAACTGGAACATTGGCATAACCATTTTTGAGATGTTACCATTAAACGTATCTGTATTATTCGTAGTCCTGCAGCATGTGGTCTGATGGTTCTCTCTTCTGGCTTTCAGTCTTTCTGCCTGGAGTGTAAACAATAGTGTTCTGCTTTTGCTAGGCCTATATAAGAAGTATTGCAAGATAAAGGGGGTGTGAGGGGAGTGTTGTGTGTTTTGTTTTGTGTAGTGGTTTTGTTTGGGTTGTTTTTTGGTGTAGCCTTGGCTGGTTTCTTGGGTAGGAAACGTTTCTGAATCTTTTGAACAAATTGAATTTTGTGGGGTAAATTCTGCGGATTCTTTCAGAATGACTTTAGTGTGCGGAGAGAATGCATCTTGTGCACTGGACTTGACAGCTTGAGAACCTGTTTTTGTGTGTTTTGTATGTAAGTTTGTATGTTCTGTTTCTTATGTACTGTTCCATAGGAATCCTGCTCCCATGCTTGGTTGATCAGTAGCTACGAAGGTTATACTATTCAGTTCCTTCCTGTGGTCCAACCACTGATTTACAAAAAAAAGTTTGGTCACAAAACTGTTTCACGTGTCTGTCTCTGTGTAGCTGTTAGTGAAGTCATGGGTGTACCTACTGGCAAATAAACGGACCTTGGAGTACTGCTGGTGGTGTGTGCATGTGGTAGAGGACTGATTTTCCAGCCAGGAAATGAGTTAAGGTTGGTTAGTTTCCTGGGGAATACAGACTACATCAATTTAATCTCGGTGATGGTTTTATAGGACCCGGAGAAGGAGAGGTGATGCTGGTAACTGTTGATAGCGTCTATAGGAATTAAGCTGTCAAATGTTTGACCGATGAAAGAAGTACTCTGCTTTTTGAAAAAAATTGGAGCATTCAGATTTTAAAATAGTGTCAGACAGTGCTGGTGCATCAGGGAATTAAGATATATTTAGTGTTTTTCAATATGAGTATAATCAGTAGATGCACAAACTGGAAAATTACTTTCCTTGCGTATTTTCTGAATAAAGGCTCTAGCCTTACCTCAGCCATTTGACTCTGCCCTAGGAGTCAGAGCCGACTTCAGAAAAAACCCAACACTTTAGAATGGCCTTTAGTACTCAGTTTATGTAATTCATGTTCCTTGTTTTTGTATTTTGAATAATTTCTTCTAATATAAGATGTTTCTGGATATATTTCAATGAAATTGCTTAAGGAAGTTTCAACAAGATTGTATAGTCCATGGTTTTCTGGGGGTGTGTTTGGTTTTTTTCTTGTTTTGTTTTTTAATTAAGTTACTGTAGTTTGAAGTTAGACAGCAAAAAAAAAATCTTACTTTGTTACGGATTTTATGCTGCAATATGACCAGATGGTACTTTAGTGTGACTTGTATGAAATGTTACTGCACCTTTATTAAGAAATAAACTTTTATTTTTGCATAGTAGCTATTAAAAAAACCCACAAAAACAAAACTGAAAAAAACAAACCCAACCGAACTTTTGTGTCATTGTGCTGTTATCTCTATACTATTAAAATAACTTTTTGAGCTGTCAGTTTTACCTGGCAGATCCATCGGAGTCCAGGCTGCAATCTAGTTTAGTTTCAGTCCAGATCTGAAAAATCAATATTGTGACTACTTTGATTCAAAATCTATTGTTTGTGTCATTGTTGTGTGAAACGCTCCAGCTTTCCACCTGTGTGTGTAAACCCATTTTTTTTCCCCCTCATGTTATGTAAAGATTTTTGGGGTAAATAGAAGAAAATACATTTCTACTAATGTTTGTTTTAACCTTAATGTGTTTTTCTACTTCTAGGAAGATGAAATAAGTCTCATGATGAACAGCTTATATGCACTTCATGATAAATTGGCACAAGTAGCAGGTAACACTTTAAAAATATTGTGACTAAGAGTGTTATGGCAACAGCTACAAAGAAGTCTATGCTTAGATAGTGATTTGTGACAACTGGTATATGCTGGGGCCCTGACAGCCATTTAGAGTTCCATTTTGGGAAACTACACATCCCATTTCTAGTTCACTTACACTGCCTTTTTCACCACTGTAGCACCTTTTGTTGCAATGTTTTTTAGTTAGTGGGATAGGCTGTTGATTATTGTGGTCCTCTATGGTTTTTAGATCTAATGTCTTAATGCTTTATTAATTTGATTTCATGAAAAAAGTTTATATATGCTATATGTGGAGAGGAATGTATTTCTTTTAAAGGTACTTATGGTGGAAAAATGTCTGAAAAACAAAGTATTTTGCAACAATCAGAAAATGGTTACTAATACAACAAACTGTGGTGGTTGAACAAGATTGCCTTGTTAGACAAAGTAGTCCAACTTAATCATACTAATTATATAATAATGAAAATGCTGTATATGATAATGTGTCAGAGGTGGTGTTTAGGATTAGTGTTAATTATTGAATATTCAGCGTAAAAAATACAGTGCTTTTGCCTAGAGTCATAATTAACACAGCTTTAAACTGCATAGATATTTCCACATCAGAATCAGGAAATGGTAAAGTTAAGAGTAACTTTGGCATCTGGTGAGTGTGAGTTACAACAGAATCTGTTTCATGACTATTAAGCCATTTATTTACCATCCTTGCTTATTTAATCCATAATGTGTTTAGGAGGCAGTGGTTCAGGGTTTTTTGGTTTTTTAAGCCTTATTGTTTTTTGTGCCAACTATTTGTTTTGCCACAGCAAGTTTCACCAAGAAGGCTTTTCCGCTATTATCAGGTGCTGCAGACATTTCTCAAACATAAAAAACAGTGGAAACAACTCTGTGTTAGAGATGAGGCTGACAGTTTTGTGTGTCAGGGCTATACAGGAAATCTGTAAGAAATTTGAACAGATCTGTAATACCTTTTAAGTTGCAAGAGTAATCTTCCTGCAGAAGCTTTTTGTTTCCAGAGCGTTTACAGTATCTACAGTGAATAAAATAGATGTTTGGAGAAAACCCACAGATTTCTTCTTGTTTGTTATTCTTTAACCCAAAATAGTGAAAGAATGATGTTTTAACCTGAGTGCATGCAAAATTATAGTTGCTTTAGTCTTCATTTTATTTCTTTCTGACTGTGAATGCCTTAGTGTCGATCTTTCACAGGTCAATTATCTTGATAAATTTGTATCTGTTTCAAGCTGTTTCGTACTTAATAGTATGAAAGTAGATAATTCTTTGTTATAAATCATTGGAGCCAAAAGATTTTTTTTTCTATGTCGGGTGGCCAACCTGTGGTGTCTAGGAATGTCTTAGGAGACCCACAGCTGTGTGTGGTAGAGTACTGACTTGTGTGAAGTGGAAGTGATAGGTTAGGCTACTTCTCTCCCTCTTGAAAAGCAAGTGTAGCAGTTTTCTGTTCCCTCACTGTGTCACCTGGCCCTCCAGTGGCCATACAGTAAACAATGTACTTGCCTGGATAAAAAGATTTGGCACTTCATTTCTACATCTGTGAAAGAAAGGGAGTTTTCTTAATTAGCTGAGGCTTACCTGTGTGCACATACAGTATAAAAATGTTTACCTTTCTGCCTTATGAGAGGAATTTGTATGCTTAAGGATGACTGCTTTCTTCCCCAGGTCTTAAAGGTGCACTAGTCTCTTAGGCTATTCCTGGCCAGGACAATCTTCAGTACTTACTTTCAAAAAGTATAGCTATACTTTCTGGTTAGATGGTCCCCCAAACTGAAGCTGTATTGTGAGACTACCTGATTGCTCAACAGAGTAGCTTTCATACAGTCTGAAAAATGACCTAATTCATCTGTACTTAGACAGAAGTTTCCTTCAATGCCAAGTTTCTTAAGGTATGAGAGGAAGAAGTCTGCTGTCCATTTTTGAATACCATATTGATGTAGACCTGGCACAATATTTGGAAGCTGTTTAAAAGTCATAGAACAGGGAAAGCTGCTAGAGCGGTGCAGGGTTTAAAAGTGTTGATCTTGTACACGGTGAACCACTTCAAAAGAGGGAGAAGTAAAGGAATACAGCTTTACCAAAAGTGGTGCTTTTCAGGTCTCTCTGTCACATACTTGGAAAAGTTCCTCTCATTTCATACTTGGCCATGAATCATTTATTCATGTTATAACTATTAATATTAAAAAGGCAGGCTAGAAACTTGCAGTAGTCTGTTCTGTTAAGCTTTAGTCAACATCTTGACTACCATGAAGATGGTCACTTCAGAATTTGGTTTCTAGCTCTTCTTGTATTTTTACTGAGCTGTTTTTTTGCCTTGTCAACTTCAGTTGGAGAGCAAGTGATGGAGCTTTTGTTTTAGAAGGTAAAACACTGACAGTTGTTTGAAGGAAGAAAAAAGTCAGATAACAGCTTGTTAATTTTATTTGACTTAATATACTGTGTTCCAGCTGTAGATGCATATTCGATACTGTGGTGCTCCGATATGATGTAAAATGATATAATTACCCTATGTAAAAATAGATTGCCTTTAATGCATCACTGTTCTCGGAATTACTAGTCTGCCAGTGGTGAGTAATGCCTACCTTGCAAGAAATTAGAGGGAGAAGCAGTATCTACTCGTGCAGTTCTGAGTTGAACTTTGTGTTCCTAATGCTTCAGCCTTTCTTCAAAGCAGCACCTTTTCGTAGACAGTATATATGTCAGTTCCTAACACTTCCTCCCAAACCAAAATATGTGCTTTATTTAAATTAGACTTCCTTTAGGCATAGGTTAATTACTGGATGTCTTGGTCTTTCATGGAGAGACTTCAGTAGATCATATCCATTTTCAGTCAGGCTTGCAAAATGAATAAACATAACCACTGTATTCACAAGAAGCAGCCAGCTACTCATGGATATGTCCCTGCTTTCCTGTACATAAAGAATTTTTATTTAGTTAGACTTTTGTTTTGCTTGCCATTCCTCACAGAGTGATGATCTATCAGATTTAGATGGTTTCCTTCTGAGCTAATGGACAGCACAAGTCCTTCAGATGCAGGAGTGGATTAGACTTCATATGTAATAAGGCTTACTGATAAATCCATGTCTGGATGAAAATCTGGCAAAACACTAGATATTACTTAATATTAATTTCAAGTGTCAGCTACTGTATCTGATTGGTGTCACAGGCTGTCCGTTCTGTCACTCTCCTTAGTCTTTAGTTCTTAAGGTAATTGATAGTGTGCTGTTTCCAACCAGTGACTTAAAGACTATTTAGCAAGTTCTGGTTTTCCACAGTGTTATTAAACTTGAACTTGCCTTTGGGAGACTAGGCATCCTTACTTACACTCACAACACTTGTTCTGCTCCTGCTTTTCTTCACCTACCCACTTTAGTGTCCTTCTGCAAGTAACCTGTAAGCATGAGACCTGCTAAACAAATGCTTTGTAGACTACTTGCTTTTTGTATTGGTTGGCTGTATTGCATCAAGCTATAACCTAAAGATCTGTGCTAAATCCATGTGTTTCTTAAAGTATTAGATTTGCACTGGGTTTTGGTTCTGGTACTTTTAAGACAATTATTTACATTGTAAAGCAAATATTTTAAAATTCGAATATTTCTGTTAGCTGTGTATGCTGCAGCTCATAAATTAAGCTAAATGTCAAAATGCAAGTCAGTTTCAAATATTCTAGCCTGCATGAAAAAGCAGCTGTGAGAAGACTTACGTGTTTCTTTAGAACTGAGGCTTTAGTTGCTTTTTGTTAGTATTTCTAAGAGAAGAACTCAACTTCTTATGTGGCTTGCCCAAGTACACTAACATAAGCTAAAAGGTAATTTTGTGGCCCTTGCTGGGATGTGTTACTTCTCTCCTCCCTACAAAGGCAAGTAGAACCGTTCTCTGATTGCACTTGAAATTGAAGTGCCCAAGAAAAGTTTGAGCACAAAGATCCATGCTTTGTGTAAGCTTGCAGTAGACACTTTAACGGAGGGGCAGTTTTTACAAAGAGCTCAGACTTACCTTGCAGGAGACCTGTGTAAAGTTTTTTTGCCTCTGCTTCAGTTTTATTCCTGGGTATAGGGCCTCAGATGGAACAGTTGGGAAACATTTTGGCTCAGACTATGGAAAGTGGGTTTCCAAGCCAAGTGGTTAATGATTGCACCAAAGTTATTCAAAGTAAGCCTTCATTTGCAGAACTATTAGCTAAAGCGGTGACTGAAATGGCATATAGGAATATCCTGCTGTTTGTAGTGAAATAGAAGGTTGTCTGACTTGTGAATTGCCTAACTTTCTGCAGGCTTTCAAATTCATGAGTTTCTCAGAATAAAGCTGTTAAATAGTTCTCAGCAATAGATGGGTTGGAATGAGAAACTGCATCTCCAACTGCTTTTTGTACGGGACTGAAACTCTAACTCTGATTAGCTTTCTTGTTTCAAGAGTGGGAGGCAAGATGAAAGTGATTTTTCTCTCTCCCCCTGCCCCCCCCCCTTGCATGAGGGTAATTTGAACTGATGGGCCTCAGACATTGTCAGAGCCTAGGCAGCAAAGGCATTTTTAACTGTTAAACTTGTTCAGAGCGAATATAGTCTGAAAAAAAAAAATTCAGAAGCAGGACTGCGAGGAAGCTGTCTGCTGGTTTTTGAGGATGAGACCAGAAGCTGTGAAGTCAGTGTGTTGGCTGCATACTGCATAAACGTAATTCCTGGAAGAAGGCAAATAAGATTGAATTTAAAACTACTAAAGTAATCTGTTAGTCCCCCATCTAAGGGAGCTTTTGTCTTTTTGTAATGTAAGAGGTAATACTGTATTCTCCTAAGACTGAAAATCTAAAATGAATCTTGAAACTTGTTTTTAAGAATTCATTTTTCACATTCTGGTCTCCTGCTTGTGTATTTTGGTTTCTTCTTTGTGTATTAAGCTCACCTTTTCTATTCTCTTATTTCATAAACGGGCTTCCTGGTTATCTAGATGATTACAAAACCAACCAACCAAAAGCTCCTAAGCAGAAGGGTCTCATCCTCCTGCTCTCACAAGCTGTTTTGTTCAGTTAAATTGAGTGACATGCTTTTTCTGTGTTGGAAGGACCCCAGGAAGACTTCAGGTCTTACTGAGCAACAAAAAAAAGCTTAAGTGGATGAATACCTATCAGACTTGCTCATGTCGTACCACCTGATTGAGATTGTACATAAGGCTTCTACAGAGATACATTTTGGTGTTGTGTGTATTCTGTCAGTTCTACGTGTAAACCAATGTTTATACTGGAGACTATATGAGTATGATACGTAGTTATCCCAAGTCTGCTAATCTTGAAACTTGAAATTGCCAATAATTACACATGTAAATTTACAGGTTGTAGAGCTTATGCTGCACAGAAAGAATGTCTGCCTAAATTATGTACAGGAATAGCCCATAACTCCAATTCTAGAGTTGACTTCTAAATTCAGAGTGTGTTTTTTTTTGGCAAACGTGGTGTTAATTTTCACCAGGGATCTCTGTAGTTTTGTTACTCAGGCACTTTGAAAGTCTAAGACATCGCATGTTAATTATCAAGTGAAACAACTTTTAAAGTAGTGTCTTTTCTGCTCAGTGCTTGTTTGAAAATATGCGCATGCACACAGGCTTAGTTCCAGCAGTGCTTCTAGGCCAGATACCATATGAGCACTCTTAAAAACAGTGTTGCTATTTCTCTGTAACCCAACAGTAAGAGAAGAGCATCGCTGTTACACTGATGTAATTGCAAGGCCAGATGCTCTTAAATCTGTTGAAGTGTATTGAACAAAACTTTGCTTTAGCAGTCTGAGAAGGACTTCTGCTTCACAGAAACACTTATTTCTTTGGAAATCCCTTCTGTGAATGAGACTTGAAGATTCTTCTCTGTAGCTTGCTAGTGTTTCCTGATTTTTGCTCAGATTGCCTCGAATGTTCCCATTTGTGTAGGTAGTTAATACTTGAAGTTGCTCCGTGTAGAGGGTATTTCAGTGTGGAGTAATTCCAACTTTAAATACTTTGCAAGAGAATAAGCAAAGGCGTATATTTTATATATGCATGAGTATCTTACTTTCCTAGCGTTGCTATGGCTTTGGGAATATTACAGCTTGGCATAGATTCAGGGAGGTAATGCAGGCATAACCCTGAGGCAGAGAGAGACTGAATCTGTTGTTTCCTTTTTTTTTTTTTTGTTTTGGCACAGTAGAATCATAGTTATAGATGCTAAGATTTTTTTTTTTTAAAGAAAGATCAGGAAAAAAGTGATTTGCCACTCCTGACAGATCTTCAGAAATGATGGCCTAGTGTTAGATAAAACTGGCATTAGACCTTTTCCTTTTCTGTGTGACTATGTTGGTATGACTGTTAATGCATATTTTTTGCATGAATCTGGTATCTTCAGTTTAGCAGAGAAAATCAGGAAGATGATGGCTGTCAGGACTCACTGTGTGTGCAGTGCCTTATTTCCTGGACAACCTCTGCATAGTTTTTGAAAGAATTAGGAGGATGATGAAATCGCCACTTTTGGGCCATGTTAGGATGTTGTGCATGTTCAGGAAGGGGATTGGTGATAACTTGTGATAACTTGTACCAATCTAAAATGTAGTAACTTCATAGTGCCTGAAATACTGTTACAGATATGTTGCAACTGGAACTAACTTGGTCTATATAAAAGATAATACGTGTTTCAGTGTAAATGGAAATTACTTGGAAGAAGTTGGGTCAGGGTACAGCAACTGTTTTATAATGTCCCTCATAGTTCTTGATACTACCTTTTGTTCTACTTTGAGTTTAAACACCAAAATATACTTTGAGCAGTACGCAAAGTTGTATTGATGTGATTTGTACGTATTATTAGCTGTGACGATCTTCATTTTTTGAAAACTTTTTTGAAGGAGAAATTTGTCCAGAGATTTTTCTGTATTTTTAGTGGAACTTGTGAGAATTATTGAACTACTGCTACTTGTGTAGAGTGTGTTAACTGTAAGCTTGTGTTTAGGTGATTTTTATTTTATATAAAGCAGTAATAAGTAGATCAAAATAAACAAAAGTTTAATTTTACCAGGGGAACATGAATGTGGCAGCTCTATTCAAAGAAATCTTACCGTCCAGGAGGCAGCTGCATATTTAAAAGTAAGCAAATGAGGTATTTTTCATTGGTTGTATATAAGATTTGTGTAAGTTACAATATATAAGGCCTGGTTTCATGTCTAGCATATTGATTACAATTCAGCTTAGTATTGAATGTTATTTGGAAATGTTTGGAATTGATGTCTTTAACACATGCTAGTTACAATTTTTATTTGGGGATGTAACAAGGTTTTGGGGAAGAGGGAAGGTGAAAAACTGGATTAATTGCAATGAAAGTGTGGATAGCATGCGGGTTTTTTCTCTTTAAACACAACACTAGGGCATAATTTGATGGCGATAGTTGACCAACATGAAAATCATAAATTTATGAAATTAAAATCTCTAGAAGCTTCTCTGGAAATAAGTATACTATGCTTTGAGACTTGGTAGAAAAAGATACTGTCTTCCTTTCTTTGGGAGGAGAGGTTGATGTGTGGATCCATGCAGTGGGCCTGACAGGCAGCAGCTGTATGGAAACACCATTCATTGGTGCTTTAAATAGAAATGGTCAGAAAAGGCCTTTTTGTTAATTTGATAGGTGTGCAGTATTATGAAATCCCACTCTCTGCTGTCATTCCCCTGCCTCACTCCCCAAATAAAAGATGACTGTTGCCTTGACAGCTGTAGGGTTTATTTTAGCCCACGTTGGTGTACCCTTCAGTGGAAAATACTTGAAGCTTCTAAAAGGCTGAGAGTATAAGATTTCTTTGATTGGATGGGGAAGAGTTATGTTGATGTGATTTGTAATATACAAGTGTATACAAATTTTACATTTTTGCCAATGTTTAGACAGTAGACGAAATGGGGCAATGTTAAGAGCATCCTGAAGAAGCAGCTAATGCTCGTTTATGTTTTGGCAATAATATTTGAGATCTGTTAAAACCAGTGCATTGTGGGAATACGTTGGAAAAAATTAAGTTGATGCCAGATAACTGATGGTCTTACCTATATTGTGCTGAAAGAATAACAGTTGTTATTGTAACAATTGTTTTAGCTCCGATGAACTCAAATTTCATATGAAAATTTGTCGCTTTGTACAAAGTCTTATTTAACCCTACAGTTCCTCATTTTGGGAGTGTAAATTTAACTCCTTTCCAGAATTTCAGTGTTCTGTGATAAAACTTTAGTATTTTACTTTCAAAGTGAAAATAAAACAATTACAGTTTTTTTTCTTAAGTGCTTATCCTTTAATTCTAGGCTAGTTACATTATGTGAGGTTCAAAGGCAAGATAGAGACAAATCTTTTTTGGAGAGTATAATTTCAAATACAGTAGTAACTTCAATTCTTGCTTTTCTTTTTCTGCAAAAGAACATGCAAGGCTGAACTACAGAGACAGCCTTAGCTCAGATAGCAGTGAATGTTCTCGTATGATACTTGATCCCAAATAATTAAAAAAATCAATTTCTATATAGTAATATCAGTTCTTGAACTACAAACAATGGACTATTTATCAGTTAAAATGGATTTTTCTCAAACTTTAAAAAAAAAAAACCTGAACTGCTTTTATAGGACCTGTTTTCAGCTGGGTTTATGTCTAGTTTGAGGTTTGCTCTGAAAGTAGATTTTCAATGAGCACCACCTAGTGGCTAAATATTTTTTTCTTGCTGTAGGTTAGAATTTTTAATAGAACAGTGAATGTGGCTTGACTTTTCAAACAGTCTTTAATTTGACCAGTGGCAGCAAGTCTGATAGCTGCTCATAGCGTGTATAGATTCACTTCATGTAGTGAATGCTTAACGCAAAATCTGAAGAATCAAGAACAGAACCACGTGGTTTTAGCTACTAGTCTGTGCAGTATCTGAATTTTATTTTGGCATGATAACTTTCTGGTCATTTATGAAATTACTCATTAATATTTACCTTTTGATAGAATTTAGATCCAGAATACGAAAGTGTACTTAACACAGCATTACAATGGATCTTGAAGAGTGGGGAAGATGTTGGCATAAAGTAAGTGGTCTTTTATTTCTTAATTTATTTTCTTCTAACAGAATGTATCCTTTTTCATAAATACTGTATATTTTTGAATAGGTGTCTCAGCAATGACCCTAATGAGATGGATGTCATTAATGTGACAGATGTGAAGTATCTGGAATCCACTAGTCCAAAGATGTCTTTCAGGTGTCGTTTTCGCCGTGCATTTGTTAACGTAACTCACAGATTATCACTATTGCTTTTGGGTAAGTTAATAAAAAAAATCAAACTTTTTTGTTAGAACTTGTATTTATTTAAGTGAACATGGAAAAGTCAACAGCATACAACTGTAGTGTAGTTTGGGTTGGAAGGGACCTTTAAAGGTCACCTAGTCCAACCCCCTTGCAGTGAGCAGGGACGTCTTTAGCCAGATCTGGTTGCCCAGAGCCCCATCCAATCTGGCCTTGAATGTTTCCAGGGATGAGGCATCTACCACCTCTCTTGGCAAGCTGTTCTTTCACCACCCTCATTGTAAAAAACTTCTTCCTTGTATCTAGCCTAAATTTGCCCTCTTTTAGTTTAAAACCATTACTCCTTGTCCTATTGCAGCAGGCCTTGCTAAAAAGATTGCCTCCATCTTTCTTACAGGTCCCCTTTAAGTATTGAAAGGCTGCTATAAGGTCTCCCTGGAGCCTTCTCCAGGCTGAACAACCCCAACTCTCCCAACCTGTCCTCATAGGGGAGGCGTTCCATCCCTCTGATCATTTTTGCAGCCCTTCTGTGGACCTGCTCCAACAGGTCCATGCCTGTCTTGTGCTGAGAGCCCCAGAGCTGCGCAGAGTACTCAGGTGGGGTCTCACCAGAGTGGAGTAGAGGGGGAGAATCACCTCCCTTGACCTGCTGGCCACACTTCTTTTGATGCAGCCCAGGATATGGTTGGTCTTCTGGGCTGTGAGTGCACATTGCTGGCTCACCTTGAGCTTTTTGTCCACCAGTGCCCCCAAGCTCTTCTTAGTGGGGCTGTTCTCAATCCCTTCATCCCCCAGCTTGTATTGATAGTGGAGATTGCCCCAACCCAGGTGCAGGACCTTGCACTTGGCCTTTTTGAACCTCATGAGGTTCACACAGGCATGCTTCTCGAGCTTGTCCAAGTCCCCATGGGTGGAATCCTGTCCCTCAGGTGTGTCAACTGCACCACTCAGCTTGGTGTCATCAGCAAACTTGCTGAGGGTGCACTCGATCCCACCGTCTGTGTCATTGATGAAGGTATTAAACAGCACTGGTCCTAGTATGGACCCCTGAGGGATGATGCCGCTTGTCACCAACCTCCATCTAGATGTTGAGCCATTGACTGCAACCCTCTGGATGCAACCATCCAACCAGTTCCTCATCCACTGAACAGTCCACCCATCAAATCTGTATTTCTCTGGTTCAGAGAGAAGGATGTTTTGGGGGACCATGTCAAAGGCCTTACAGGAGTCCAAGTAGATGACATCCATAGCTCTCCCCTTGTCCACTCATGTAGTCACTCCATGATAGAAGGCCCCTGTTTTGACAAACCAAAATAATGAAAGGCCAACTGTCCCATATTGCTGTCTTTCTGATAATGGTTGATATGAGAGTTGAGTTGGGATGTGGAGATGAAACTCTGTATCCAAGTTAACCACTGGTCTTACCAGTCATGCTGAGCAAATTGCTCTGTGTCTCAATTTTCTCATCTGTAATTAAGGTTAATATGAAGCACCTTTTCAAAAATAAGCCATTGTATAAATACTAGCTGTGTTGTCATTAACTTAACACACATTTTGGCCTGAAATGGTGTCCCTCAGTCTCTTTTCATGTATTGGTTAACATTGCCTTGTGATCACTGGTATATGAAACAAACTATGTAACTCTAACTTGTGTATGTGTGGTTTTGAGGTGATTTTTTTTAATTGTTAAAAGATCACAGGTGTAGTGGTACCCTCAGCCAGGGATAGAAGGAATATAAGATTTTTATTTTCAGTTTGTGCTGCTGGGCTTCCTAACTAGACTGTCCTTTTTGGGAATCACTTTTAAAGTAATAGAAAAAGAGCATGCAGTATTTTGTTGCAAGAAACGCAAATCTGTAGCTGGACTGAAGTAGTCCAAGTTAATTAGCTTTGACTGGTATATCTAAAGCATGTGACTTGTCTATGAGTTGGTGAATATTGAGCATTTTTAAATCTTAACGTGCTCTGAATTGTCAGTTTACGACTTTTGATGTGACTTTGAGTTTTTCCAGTATAGGTGGTTTACTGGTTTGGTTTTTTTCTTCATAAACGGGTATAACTTCAAACCACAGTCATGGGATACCAGGCTGTCATTAAAACAATGAAATGTTTTTCTAAAGGTAACTATTCTTCAGAGTTTAAGAGTTTGTGATGCTGTGTTAGTAAAATATAAAATACTGACAGTGAGTACAGTGTATTTTACTAGATTGGAAATTTAAAGTGCTTCAAAATGTTAGCTAGTTCAACCAGCTTCTGAAGTGTGTGCTGTAAACTTTGTTAATAACCAATGTTCTAATCCTGTTTAAATAACAAGTATTTATTATATATCTTAATGCAGGTATAGCAATGGTCTGGGGAGTCTTGCACTACATGAAATACCGTTGGGCAAAAGAGGAAGAAGAAACGAGGCAAATGTATGATATGGTGGTAAAAATCATAGGTATGGCTTCTTGAGTCACATCTGATTTGTCTGTATCAGCTCTGTATAAGCTTTCTAAGTAGTGGCATTAATTCAGTTATGTTTTCTTCCTGTTCAGTTGTCAGTTATCATGCTGTTAAGAGTTCTTGGTCAAATGTGTGGTTTATGTGTTGTTTTTTTTTTTTTTTAAAAAAAAAAAAACACCATCATCCTTCAAACCTAATCAAAGCTTTTGGTATAAAGATTGTAATTTGTGAATTACATCAACGTGGCTATAATAAATTCCCATTGACTTAGTGGTATTATTGTATCTTACTGTTGAAAACAAATACAAACGCAATGTTTGTTGACTAGAACTATGGTGACGTGTTGCTTTCTGCATCTGTTTTTTCAGCTATCTTTAGCTAAAATATCTACTCCTAAAATGTGTGTTAGCTCTCAGTTCCATCCTTAATGGCTTTTCATAGAAAAAGCAGCTTTTTAATTAGTCACTTTGAGAAGAAATTATGTTACTAAAGTAGAGTGCATAATTGAGTTCTGAAAGCCACAATGTTTTCAGTAGTTTGTGTTTGTAGATTTTTAAGCTGTATCTTTAGTTAAATTGTCTTACTACTTTCACCTATGGCAGTCATCATAAATACAGAGATGATAGACAAATTTGAGCTCTTCTCCATTTTCTTACCTTTTTTTTCAAATTGAGTTTTGTTGGGGTGGGGGAAAGCACTTTATTTTCAAAGGTGGCTGTCTTTGCTAACAGTTAAAAGTACCGATCAAGAGTTAACTGCAAGAACTCTTTTCCTTTATTCCAAAGTTATTCGGGGTACTTGGAGGCACTGTGTGTGGCTAGTTTTCTTGACTTGCCTTCAGCATGGTTAGGAGGAAAAATGTTTCAAAATGCCAGAAACCACCTTAACTGCTGAAATTGGGAGGGGTCTTCAGAGTAACTGTTCATTGCCAGAATTGGTATTTTTCTTAATGCTTGCATGAACTACGTAGTTACTAGTTTTTCTTATGGTGTCCTCAGATGTTCTAAGAAGTCACAGCGAGGCATGTTCTGAAAATAAAGACTTGCAGCCTTACATGCCTATTTTACACGTGCGTGATTCTCTAATACCACCGCAGGACAGGTATGTTCTCACTAGAAGTACTGAATTTCCTTGTGTGTAAGTAAAGAAAAACAATAAAAATAAGTTGGTCAATTAACTAAGTTAATTTTAGTAGGTTGCACAGTATAATATTTTGGAGATTCTTGCTGACACAGGTTCAGGGGAACCTGATTTCTCTTGCATACTGGATGTCAGCTGTGCAGGTTGTTACAATGTTAACTTTGTAATTGTTGCTTTGATTTTTAAGGAGGAAAATGAGGAAAGTCTGGAACAGAGCAGTTGACTTTCTTGCGGCAAATGAATCTAGAGTTCGCACAGAGACACGAAGAATAGGTGGTGCCGAGTTCTTGGTTTGGAAATGGATGCAGCCTTCTGCAGCGTGCGACAAAATTTTAGTGATACCATCGAAAGTGTGGCAAGGCCAAGGTACTGAAGTTTAGTTATATTTTTCTAATATAATTTTTTTAATTTCTGCATCTAGCTTCTAAATGGTATTTTGTTGCTTGAACATGAAAGACTTGTTTTCTCTCACACCTTTAAGTACTGTTATGAACTGTCAGTGCTATTTCTCTGTTACCTTATTGGTCAGTAGACTTGCGTTTTCTGCGCACTCTGACTCTGCCTTGTTTTCAAGCAAAACGAGCTTTTCTGTTATAGCTACCGCAGAAATACAGCAGAGGGCATGTAGCCAAAATGAGCTGCTCGTTCCTTTTCATGGATTTTCTTTAAAAAAACATACTCTTTAGTCATTCTGGCATACCTTCTACTTACTGGAAGTAGTGTAATTGGTGGTATCTAACAGCAGGTAGATCGGAGCTTGTAGACTTGAGTTTCCTACTGTTATCAGTCAGGTACCTAAAGACAGTTTGGAAGAAGAGATGTTTCTTTATTTTGAAAGGGAAACTGCTGGGACAAAAGACTCCTCAATCAGCAGAACATGGATTTTGAGCATCTCCTAGTAGTGCTGCTTTTCTGTCATAAATGTTTTTCTACACTGCATTTGTATTTCAAGCTCTGTGCTGCAGCAAAGCATTTGCTTTAATAGAGGAGGCTGTTGTCATACATGGATTTTGTAGTGGTCTGACACCTTTTTCAGCTTTATTATGGAGCCAAGTGGCAAGAATCCAGTGGGTTTGCAGTTGTCTGACTGCAGTAGTCATCTTTTCCTAGGTCTTTTTTCTTTCTGCCTTCATGTTAAGCTTCAGGTTTTGGGGTGAGTTGGGTTTTTTTGGTAGATGAAAAACTGAAGCTATGAAACTTGAATTCTGGGTTTCAATAAAAAAGAATGGTAATTTCTATCAATGAGTGTGAAGGTAAATGTTTGAAGTGAAATCTTAATTGCCAATTGTTTAAATGTTGTGATTTTTCTTAAAAGAGACTCTTGCCTTACGTTCTTCTGTAATGCTGTATTATCTCTCCAGTGGGACTGAAATAAATGCTGTGCAGAAGCCTAGTTTATAAACTTATTGGCTTACCTTGATGGTGAGGGAGGAGGGAGTGGTTGCTTCTCCATTTTTTAGTTCAACTCTTAAAATTGTATGTTATCAAAGTTGTATCATGCATTACTTCTATGGCATTGAGCTAGATGCTGAAAAAAGCCTAGTTAAAAACCAAACAGACTTTCTGCCCTTTAATCCCACTTAAACAAGATAAAAATTCCCACTTTCAAGCAACAGCACACTCATTTATGTTGTTCTGGAGTATGCTAATTTTGGTCTCAGTTTAACTAATGCAAATGTAATAGGCTTCCTTATTTTGCTTTTTACTGGTATACATTTTTATTTGTAAGAAACAATGGGTTTTTTGTTCCCTGTAAAAGGGTACAGTTTATAAAGTAGCTCCTTATGGAAAGAGTTTCTTTGTGGACTGGAACACTTATGCTGTAACAAGCTAGATTGCCCAAGTAAACTACTGCTAACGTTCTGGTTTTGTCCCAGGCCACTTGCATGTTTTCATAAGTTCTATGTATGCTTTCAGCCCTTGGGTCTTAAATTTTGCTTTTCTGTAAGTTCAAAGCAAAACAAAACAATTCTGTCTGTCAGCTTGAAAAGCCAAATATTTTGATACATTTGCAGATACTTGGCATGTTGTCTGATGAGGGTCTTAGTAGTCTTGGGAGCAATTTCTAGCTCGTCTATGCAAAATGTTATGTTGGGTTATCATTATATACTTCTCAAAGTTATGCTACTGGTTTTAGCATTATGTTTCTCATTTTAAATCATTCATTGGAAACGAGGGCTGATTTTTATTTTTTTTTAGAATACCTTGTGAATATTACTGCAGGCTTGAGGTTCTGTGGTCATTGTCCTGTGGTTCTGCTGTGACAACTGTTACATTCTTTTAGTTTCTCAAAACTTTAGTAAGATGTGAATAGTAACTTTATTATGAGAGTTGCAGAGCCTTTTTCTTTCTAGGATGTTGTTCACTAGGGATGTGCAAGTGCTTTAGATGCAGTGCAGAAATGGTGGGTTTTGTCAACAGCTGTCTGTTCTATCTCTGTCATGACTGATTTTCAAACACTTAAATTGCAGAAGCTATATTCAATTTATGTGTGTTATAAAGCAGAATCTTCTACGTAGTTTATTGTTCAATACAGGCTGTGAAACATGGCACTCCGTTTCTGGAATTTCTCACTTACTACTCATTTGCTCTTAGTTTTTCCTGTCTTGTTTGACTGCAATATAAATCACTCTATAGCATTCTGTCCCGTATTAGAAAGAGGACTGGCTTTCCCTTCATCTGGAAGACTTATCAGTGTGTTAAGCTCAGGTGCTGCTTTGCTACATGGAATTTGCATTCAAGACTCTCAACAGTAGTTTCCAAAACTTCCTAGAAAGCTACTGTAGTAGCTACTGTTTGGTAACATCTGCATTTGAACATCTGATACCTACTTTAGCATATTGTGGATGTGGACAGAGTGACTTTTTCAGCTGTGGTTTTTAGCTGTATGTTGCCTAGAGTACGTACTTAAGACACTATGCTTTCTGTTGAACAGGATATATTAAGATCTATCTTGTTTCAGTTCTTTTAATAGCAGTTTTCCTAGTTTTCTTGTTATGTTTCTAGTTCAGCAAAGATCTTTGAAGAATTGAAATTGCGTACTTTGGCTTTTAACAGAAGGGTGTGAAAATAGGGGTGGCTGAAATTACGTAGGTCATTTGAGCTCTGTATGTCTTGGTAGTCAGCAGGCAAAGGCAATTTTCACATGCAAAGGCTCTTCCTATTTTACATGCCTTGTTTTCATGTGACTGTTGGAAATAGTTCCATTACACAAGTCTCATACTTTCTGCACAGCTCTTTCTTTCCTGGTGTTAGGCATCCTATATGTATATGTCACTTTCTTCATTTTTGGAAGTATACATCAACTGGAATTAAGTTCATCCTCCAGTTTTGATGTTTGAATATAGAAGTTCATAAATGTAAATACTCTTCAAGACTGCTAGGTCCTGAACAAACTCAGTATATACAAAATCAGAAGGCATTATTGGTTTTGAATCTTGTGAATAAATGTCAAGGTCGCCATTTTAACCTTCTGAGATCTGGTAGTGCTCTGTAGCAGAGCACAATACCTAGAGTATGCGCAATTGAAGAAGAAAGCCTCTTGACCTGTCAGTGTGTACTAGGATATTGGTAGATGATAGCATGCATTTTAAATGTGGGACCTGTAGCATGCATAAAGATCTAGGCTGTACTGTCTGTTAGCATCTCGAGTTCAAGCATCATTGTGGCGTTTTGTCCAGACTTTCAGGATACAGCCTGTGTTTTGACAGATAGTTTGGGATTTTTTTTTTACTGTTTACGGATCAGAATAAAGTCTGGTGTACTTCCTTTGAAATATTATCTACCAGATACAGTAGATATATCTGTCAAAAAAAGAAGTGGGTAGGTAAGCTCATTGTAGGATGGTAGAAAAATGTTTTTTATAACTGACAAGAGAATTGTCAGTTGAAAAAAAAATCTTGATCATGCCAAAATGTAATTTAATTAAATCAGTGGGGGGAAAAAAATTCTAGTGTGTTCAGTTTGCTTTTGAAAGAACAGATACTGTTGTCTTATTGTGCCTTTGATAACTGGAGCTTTAAAGAAAAATAGACAGGCAGAGCTCCAGTGTAGCTAAGCTAACAGCAATAGCTAAAGTTCCTGGACAGCTCTGGAAATAAAGAGGTTCTCTGAAGTACCACATCTAGGGTGATATTTCATCCTGCAGCATGGAAGATAACCTGTTACCTTGTGTGAATGACACCCCTCCCCTCAGCTTGTGAGAATATAATCCTTTCTCCGTGTTTAAAAAAAAAAAAGGGCGCTCTATTTTTAACTATTGCAAGAAAACTGGATTTTACGCTTGTTGTGAAATGCTGTATCCATCCCGTCCTGGTCTTCTATAGCTAAACTTAACTGTATTAAGCCCCAAGTCAATCACACTCTCCTCTCATTAACGTTTAGTAGGATGTTGATTTCAATATCTTTCCTGTTCACTGAAGAACCGAAAGTGTGTAACTTCAACATTTTCAACTAAATGTTTTATCATCTTGCCTTTGATAAAAAGGGTTAGTATTTAAATTATGTGATCTGTGGATTAACGTGAATAAATCTGTTCTTCAGAAACATGGTTGCCTGTATTTGATGCAAGTCTTCAAGCCTTATCAGGTGCATCAAATCCACACCAAAAGATCTGTTGAGCTGTCTTATAACCCATGGTGGTGATACAGGGGGATCCCTTTAGCAATAATACAGTAGTAATTCAAGAGGTATAGAAAGCTGTACTGCAATTTGTTAGATGTTCATTTTGAAGTCTGTGCAAGAGCCACTCCTATCATAGACATACTCCAGTCACAGTGATGAAGAGGCTGTTGAAAGCACATGCTTTTAGCTGCTGCTGTTCTTTGAATCTGGAATTATATAATCATATTCAGTTTAAGGTAATAAAACAAAGTATATTGATTGAAATACAAGGTGGCTTCCTTTCCTTGAAGGTGCTTACTAGTCCCCAAGGGGAACTTATGAAAGTCCTAAAAAATTTCTTGTCAGTGACTTATTGCACAAAGTTGTGCTTCTGCTTTCCTATTTCATCTCCACCTTTTTATCCTTATTGTGTCTTACTGTTGACACTACTTAGGAAAAGAACTGGTGTGTGAGGTGCTTAGTTAATTATGATGTAGCTTAGACTATCCCACAAGAATGTCTGCTGCTTATGCCTGTATTGTCAGGGGAATATTTTGTATGCTGCACACGAGTGTAAATTTTCAAATAATCAGTACTGTAATCTGAATAAGTTTGTCACTTAAACTTGCTCTTTTCAGGGGAGGGTGAGAATTAATTGTTAATAGATGTGTAATGAAATTCAAGAGACATCTGTTAACTGTGCTATTTTGAATTTTGTTGTGTAGGTACAGCATTACTTTTAACTTGCCTGTGTCTTCCCTCTCCTCATTGATTTCTGTGGCCATTTTTTCCTTAAAGAGCTCCATCTAATTTGCAAAACTTTCTTTCAATTTACCACGACTTTGAACCTTTTTTGAGAAAAATCAGAATTCATCTTTATTTTCCTATGCTGCACTGCCCTAGGCACACTTGCTCTACTAGTATGATGTTACATTAAGTTGGTGCCGGGTTAGTTTTGTGCTAGTGGTGTGCTCTGGCTGAAATCATCTCTGCAAGCACCTGAGATCTTCCAATCAAAAGGGCATCAAGATTATTAGAAATTGGAGCAGACAAAGATTGCTTTTTTCAGGTTTCTACACTAAAGCGTGAATTCCCTATTTAGTTACTTTTGCATAGCTCAGTGGCGTGGCTGCTGCCTTAAACAGTGTGGGTTTTTTAGAGTTCACAAACAGCTTGCAGAAATATTGATCCTCTGGGCCTAAAGTCTCTGCAAATAACTTCACCATTCTTTATCCTTGGATTAAAACCATGTGCTGAATGAACCTAGCTATTGACAATCAGCACATAATTTCCTCAACCCCACACCTTTTCAGGTCCAGGTCCATGACTAGGCCACCCCAGATCACCTTCTCCAGTATGGTGTGGTGCCCCAGTGTACAATATGCTGGTGACATTTCACTCCCCCTTGATCTGCTGGAGCCAACCTACATGAGTAAGGTAAGTCCATTTATTTTTCAATGTTGCTTAGTTCTGTAAAGTTTTTATTGTATACCCTATGTATAATTTTTAATCAAGGGCAAAAAACTTTACAAAACCATGTGCTATTGAAAAAGGACTTGTCCTTAAACTATAGGCAGCTCAGAGATAGATGCAGTGTCACCAGCATATTCAGAAATCTGTTCCCTGGAAAAAACAGTTGTTGCAGGTGTTGGTGACTTGGACTCTCTGTGTGTGTGTAATATTCTAATAAGAACATCTGTAGTTGTTTGGGGAACTTATGGTAGGTTCCATATTATTGTTGGAGGCCTCCTTTCCTAATTTCTAGTTGACAATTGTATTTTTTTCCCTCGGAAATTTACATAAGGTGTAAGTGTCTGTACCATATCTGCAGGCAGTGTATTTTCTCTTGGTTGGTGCTGGTCTGTGGCATGCAGCGTGTTCCACATGACTGAATTTCTTCTATGTGACATAGCTTTTGTTTTGGTGACATGCAGAAGAGCAGTGTGTTTGTATTTTGGATATACTTGCAAGATTTTATTTTAAAAGGTTAGCAGTAAGAAGCAGAGACCTGCAGTGTCATCAGCCCAAAACTGAGACTTGTAACACATCTTGAATCTGTCAAACTTCTCCCAAAGTAGGGATTGCAAAGGAGAAGCATTAGCATCAGTTTGGAACATCATTTTGGTCCAAAGATTTTTAATCTTATGAGTTGATACAAGAGTTTAAACATCTGAAGTCTTCAAAGTAAAACTTCCTTCAAGCCTTGGAAGTTGTTTTACCAGGTTATCCCCTTCCATTTCTGTTGCTGTGTTGTTGGCCCTTGTCTGAATCTGAAGGGATCTTTTATTCCTTTTCTTATGGTGCAGTCTTCTGTTGTGACTCCTACAGGTACAACTTGTGAACTTTAGAGAAGTTAATATTTATTTTAGAACTTCAGAATGTATTTCCTGGGATTGTTCAGCTTTGAAAGAATTACTGTTATTTTTAATTTCCATTTTTCTTCTTTCATCTGTTTTACCCTCTTGTGTGTCTCACTTCAGATTTTTGCAAGCTTCTGATCATGTGTGTAGAGCATTTAGGGTTACCAAAGTTCCAGCCTTTTGGGGTGCTCCTTGACAGTTGTTACTGTAATACAGATGCAATACAACATCCATTTAAGTGTGTCCCTATTTCTAAGTCAGATGGGCAGTAAATTGCCCCAAAAGTGGAAGAAATTAAAATTCATTAGACAGCTAAAACTAAATGGTTAACCTCCAGATCCAAAGATTTGCTCCAGATGTTAAGAATATCTGTCTTTTCATGGAGATGTAATGCAAATGCTTTCTCTTCAACTATATGGCATTTTTTTAAAATATCCTGAGTTCCTTCCGTGTGCTGTGGTCTGGATATAAGTGCATTATCTTTTTAAAGGTGAAAGTTGTAAATCTAAAGTTCGGTTAAGTATGGTACATTTTCTTCAGTGCAGAAGACGACTGTGGGGACCTGAATTTGCTTGAAGCTTTTTCGTATATGAAGGAAAGTATTTGTTTGAGTGAAACCAGAAAGGTATTAATGTGTAAAGCTGACACTTGTTAACTAGATGGTATTATGCCTGTCAATTACTATTAAATTTCTTTTTCTTTGTAGCATTTCATCTAGATAGAAGAAATTCGCCACCAAACAGCTTGACACCATGTCTAAAGATTCGCAATATGTTTGATCCAGTTATGTAAGTAAAACCAATTATCTTTCTGTATTCTTCTAGAAGGGTCTGTTTCTTTCCTCTGAGGGGGATTTGGAAGACGTGAATAAACATGATGAATACCTTGGAAACAAATGGGTTGAGGGGAAAAAAAAATCATACTCTCAACATCTTTGAGAAGACATAAATAATCCTACTGTCTGTCTTCTGTCCTTCATTGTCCTGTTTTTGGGTTGCTTCTTGAAGAGCGTGGCATTTAGCCAAACTACTTGGAGCAATGGCTGATCTTTCTCCATTAATTCATTTTGTAAATTTTCAACTATATCAGCTGACAGGGAGGACTTATGTGGCCTAACAATAACCTGTAAGTTTCTGAAGTATTGTTAAGTATTCTGGAGTATTTAGACTGTTACAGAGCTTGCACCATTTGCATTTAAAAGGTTGAATTTAAATAATTTATTACTTTTTGGCAGTGTGACTGCCTAGTTTTAAAGCAAATGGATTTTTGTAGCGGGAAGGTTTAAACAAATAAGTGCAAAGTCCTGGCTTCTAACGCTCAGATATAATTCTAAAGTGTGTACTGTGTATGAATAAATAACGGCAAACCTTGTTTTGTGTGTCAAGAGTTAAGGAAGAATAGTTAAACTTTTTTGTAGTAGTTTAAAGCTTCATCCACTCCACTATCGTCTTATATTCCCATTGGCTGTGTACCAGATCATTTTAGGAGTTGGGGCCTAACACATAAATTTTATGCCAGCTAATCCTTCCTAATTTTTAAAGCCTGATTTGTCCAGTGCAAAGAGATACAGGGACTCCAGTAACTGCTCTGAAGTAATTTATTCCCCGATGTGATTATATAAAGGAAAAATGAAAATGTTATTCTGTCTGGTAGAGTAAAAGTGAGGTGCTAATTGGGACTGAAGAGTAGGAGAAGTTGAGTGGAAAATAAAAGCTATTGATTAGAGTAGGGAATAACAGGAAGTAGGAGGGGACACTGCAGTACGAACACAAGTGATTGCAAAGTTTGGATATATTTCTTCAGCTCTGTTTCACTTCTGCTTCTAGCCACACTTAATTACTTTAGTTCTGTGCCTTATTAATTGGGAAGCTGTTAGCTAATTTAGCTGAGGACAGTGTTACCCTAGTGTAGAGAAGTACTCTTAAAAACTGTTTTTCTCAATGGCTTTAAGACTTAATGACTGTCATGGGTAGAGATCCCAGCTGTGGCTTCTTTCATAACTTTCAGGTTGCAGTAGGGTGAGCAAGACTGAAATTTTAGGCATTGTTCTTGAGGCAAATTCCTCCTTCTGTAGGAGGATGAAATAAAAGATGAGATTTGCTGAGAATTTTGGGCAAGATTGACATCCTTTTTGTTCTTGCTACGAAGGAGGCTTCATGAGCTATATTGGTTAGTCTGAGTAGTACTGAAATAAATCAACTCGTGAAGCTTCACTGTAATATTTATTGGTATGCTGTATTGGTTACTTTCTTGTTTCACAATGTTCACTGTTCAAAATCCCTGCTGTTAACAGAACTAGTAACTGAGTTCTTATTTTTGTTAGAACAATCTCCCTTTATAGGCTCTATCTTTGCTGTAAATGTCACTGTTTTTCAGTGCTGACCTAGTCTATGCCCAGCAAGTGCATTAAAAAAACACCCACAAATATTTATAGACTAGGATTTGTTCTCTTTTGACACCTCTCTGGTGTCTGTGTCCAGTCAGCTGTTTTGAACAGTGCAACTTCCAATACATTTGCTTTTCGTAGAACTTTTCTTTTGCAAGTTGACCTAGCTCTGTTAACTGGACTGCTGGATTATAGTCATAGTGTGGGATACTTCATCCAGTTCATATTGCACACCCCAGCCCATTCCTCTTCCACGAGCTGTCTTGCAGAGGGCTGCTGCTTAAGGAAGTACTTTTTATCACACCCTTGGAGTAATCTTAACAAACCAAAAAAAAACCCTAAAACCCTCAGTGCAAGACAAAATAGTTTATTCAATTGGTTGTGTCAAAAGAGGAAGGAGGTTTATGTTCTTGTCCCAGATCTGAAAGGGAGGGATGCCTTCACTGACCACCTGAAATATAGAATGTACCAGTGTATGTGATTAGATTGGGCCATAGGTGCAATGTATGTTTAACAAAATTAGGTTTTAGCTGCTCTTTAAGTCAAGCTATTTTATAGTAACAATAAATGACTAAGTAGTGTTCAGCAACATGCCAGTAGCTGGTAAAAGCAGCCATCTGTAAATGAGGTCTTTTCTCTTGAGCTGAGATTCGTCTGGGGAATATACTAGTTTATTTACTCTGTTAGCACTGATAAATACAAATTATCATATTTCTACTGCCAAAAGTCAGAAACCTTACCTGGACACTGTGAACCCTCAGACCACAACAGCAGACTTAAACTTGGGTGTATGTTCTAGGCATTTCCTATGCCAGACACAAACCTATTTTTGAAAATCAGTCTAAGCATCATTTGGGTAAGCCCATTTTAGCGTTTCTGCATCTCCCACGAAGTCCTTGAAAAGAATGGTTCATAGAGCATGGGTAGCATTCCTG